CCCCCACCCACCCCACCCTATTCCTTACCAGCAGTACGGGTCACCCCCCGCTTGCGCTTCTTCCTGCCCATGCCCAGTCCGTCCGTCCGTCCCTCGGTCCGTACGCCCGTCCACCCGGCCGAGTGAGGTACTCCCCTCTCACCCTTGCCCGCTCCCCTTCCCCCCCTCCTCCCACCCCACTCGCACATGGACCCATACGCCGCACTCAGCGAGTGGCTGCCGGGCCTCAAGCAGGACTCAGAGTGGTCAGCAGAAGAGTTGCGCGCCGCCTATCGAGCCGCCCTCCTCGCTTTGCACCCGGACAAGCAGGCTGGGCGGTCAGGAGCTCTCGCAGAGGATGCCGACGATAAGGCTCACCGCCAGGAAAGGTGGGAGGCTGTGCAAGCCGCATGGGCTGTCCTGGGCTCGCCGTCTGCCCGTGCCGCCCACGATGCTGCCACAGAGGCTGGTGTCCGGGAGATGGCCGCTTTGGCAAGGCTGTCGGACGAGATCAACGTGGCGGACATGGCCTTTGAGGTCCGCGACGCGGGCGCCGATCTGCTGTACTCGGCGGATTGCCGGTGCGGCGGCGCATACACTGTCTTGCAGTCGGTGCTCGACGATGCGCCTCTCGCCCTCGTCCGCTGCTCCTCCTGCTCGCTCACCGTCCGTATTCGCGACGACGGCTCCGGCGACGATGACTCGTCGCAGACGTAACTCACCCCTGCCTACACGCCTTTTACTAGCAACAACGCCGGTCACGGTCACGATGCAAAGCCGAGGATGAGCTCGTTGACGCGGTCGGCGGCATCGACTTGGACCCAGTGCGAGGCACCGTCGATGAGCTCGATGCGGACGTCCTTGACGTAGCGCTCGATGCCGGCGAGGAGCTGGGTCCCGAGCGCCTTGTCCTCGGTGCCCCAGATGATGAGGACCGGGATCTGCAGCGGAGCGCGCAGCGCCTCGCGCAGCCGCGGCGACGGCACCGCCAGAATCTGGCGGTAGTAGTTGATCATCGACTCGAGCGCGCCTGGGTGCGAGACTGCGTAGCGGTAGGCATCGAGGTGCGCGTCGTTGAGCTCGTCGCGCTTCTGGTAGCCCATGGTCCGCGAGGTGAACGCGCCCGTCACACCCTTGTAGTTGCGCTGACTCAACAGCAGCTCTGGCAAGTACGGGAGCTGGAAGAACCCAATGTACCAGCTCATCTTGATCTGTGCCCAGTCAGCATTGACGACAAAGCTACGCGGGTGCGGTGCGTTGAGAATGACGAGCCGATCGATGAGCTCCGGATGCGCATAGGCAAAGAACCAGGCGACGACGCCGCCCCAGTCGTGCGCAACAAGGACAACCTTCCGCCCGGCCAGCTCTTCTTCGATAAAAGTGGCCACGTCGCTCACCAGCGCATCGATCCCATACGCCGAAACGTCCGTCGGCTTGACCGACAGGTTGTACCCGCGCATGTCCACCGCCACCGTCTGGTACTGCTCCTTCAGCGCCACAATCTGCTTCCGCCACCCAAACCAGAACTCGGGGAAGCCGTGGAGCATCAGCGCCACCGGCGCATCGTCATCGCCGGCCTTGACGTAGTGCAGCCCGCGCCGCGACGTCACGTGCTCGCCGTACACCGGATCGTCCAGCTCGGCAGGCCGCGCCCGGTTGCTTGTTCCTTCGTGAACCGCTCCGCCGCCACCCAGGCCCAGCACCTTGCGGAGTGCGTGTTCCACCCGCCGCGGCGCATGGAGCACAAACAGCGCGAGCCAGAGCCAAAGCCGGACCACAAGCTTGACAATCCGCTTCATCATTCTCTCGTTCTCAAACGCTTTGCGTGGAGTGTCGCTCGCTCTCCCTCATGCTGCCGCCCGCACCTTCTCCTGCCGCCGCTCCTTCCCCGCACCGACGGCTGTCCCGACCCCATCTGCGCTCCTGGCGCGCCATCGGCTACCACCTCCATCGGCATGCCGGCCATACGTCTCGTGTACATTCCCCGGAATCTCCCCAATCTGGCTCGTCATCACGCGTCAAAGACGTCGAGGGTGTCGCTGGGCGTAAACGGCGCACGACACATCGGACACCTGGACACCTCCACCGCGCATGCCGTGCACATTGCCTTGTGCCGGCAGGGGAGCAGGACAACTGTGTGCGGCTTGTCGAGGCAAATCACGCAAATGTGGTCGGTATTCGAGCCACTATCGCTGTTTGCGTCGGTCGCAATGGCCATCGGCACTGCGGCGAGGCTCTGGGCCGACTCGTGCATCGGAGCGAGCTCGTTGTGCACATCAAACTCGATGCCGGCCTCGTTGGCGTGCTCGACCATGATCCACGCATACTTGCTCCAACGATGCGGAGCGATGCGTTCGCTTGCTCTCAGTGCGACGCGCGCGCCGTTGGCGACCTTGAAGAACGTCCATCCGGAAAAGTCGGCGTCGCTGAGCCCGAACCGAAGCTTGATCCGCTCGGCGAGCTCGCTCATCCGCTCGCCATCGCCGATGACGACAACAAACGGCATGCCAAACGTGGTGGTCGAGCCTGCAATGGCATGGACAAAGACTAGCGGCCGCGCCGGTGGCGCTGGGTAGAACTCGCCTTCAGGCACCGGCTCCACAATGATCTTGGCCTGCCGGGAGAGAAGGGCGAGCGGGTCTGACGGGTGGAGGACGCGCGCGATCTTGCGCCCGACGTCGAGCTCAACGAGCCGGAGCTCGCGATCAAAGCCAACCGGGGCCATGTCGCGTGCCGCGAGCGTTGCTCGAACCTCACTAATGACGCACGCAACCTGCGACGAGCTGTCGACATCGACGTCCAGCGAGGCCTCGCAGCTCGCGTCGAGACGCATCACCTCGACTCTGACGCTGCGATGGAATGCAGCTGGCGAGACCGGTGTCGTGGAGATGGCGTACCGCAGCGTAGCGATGGACTTGCCACCTGACACCGTCTCCAGGACCATCTCACTGGCAAGTCGCGTTCCTCCGTCGGCCTTGAACAGGACAATGCACTCGGGCGCGACGCCGAGGTGTGCGCCGAGGCAGGCTGCGGCGTCGGCGATGCATGTCCGCATGTGGAACCGGAGAGTAGCCTGTACCCCGATCTCACCACTTTCCATCGGAGCAAAAGTAGTGACCATGATTGACGCCATGAAACGGGCGTACTCGACCGCCGACGGCCGCGCGACCGTGGGAGGCACGTCGGCAAGTTGGTACACGACGACCGCGCCAGACTCGAGGCCGGCCGTCGCCATCGTCGACAGCGACTCGATACTCGTCAGTGACTCCGGGCCCAGCTCCTTCCAGCCCTTGAGTTGCGCATGGGCAGGAAGGCCCTCGACGTCGCGGACCTTGGCCTCGAGCTCGGCCACGCTGCTCGTGCGCTTCGCCACAACGTGGCCGCAGTACCGCATCTCTTCGCGCTCGGGATCGTAGAACTTGAGATAGAGGACGGCATGAGTATCAGGCAGCGTGGCCGGCTCACTCACATCGCCAAACTCGAGGTAAATGTCCAGTTTGGTCCCGTACCGTAGCCGAGAGTCGAGCATGGTAGCGGTGACCTGGCGCATGGGACGGATCGTCCCATGCGCGCCCATGCACCACTCCCAGATGCGGACCGGCGGCGCCTCGAGGCCCAAGTCGTGGACCAACATGTCAATGAGGGCCTGAACGGTCTTGATCGGCTTGCGCGCCTGCAGCTGGATAGCTGTCGGGAGGTTGCACAGGCCGGGACCGACATGTGCAAAGAGGTCATGGTCGGTCACGACCGTGAACCGCTGCGGCGGCAGCGGCAGCCGCACGCTCCGCACAGGATCTCGGACCACACCTCCACGCGTGCCCAGGCGCTCGCGCGACTTGATTGCCGCCGAAAGCTCGCCGGGCTTTTCGTGAAGGAAAGCCTCGAGGATGAGCGTCCCGTTGAGGAGGACCTTTTCCAGCTTCTCGCGCGGGAGGAACTTGTTGAAGCCCCAGTCGCCCGAGTCCTTGACGTATGTGTGCGAGAAGCCTCGCTGGACCCGGTGGACCGGGTGCCTGACGCTGATCTTGACGTCAAGGCTTACCATCCAGTCGTTCGGAAGCGATTGATCCTCGACGCTCTCAAGAAAGACCGCCACGTAGTTCTCGCACGTGTTGCCGTGCGGGTAGCAGACGAGCCGAAAAATTCGGTTCTTGATCGGCACAATGTGCGAAAACACCTTGGTCCGCGGCATCCGGCTAAAGTTGACTAGATCCCAGGTGATCGAAGGTTGTTCATCATCTGTGTATGAGCAGAGGCGGCCAGCATTCCTCTCGACGGCGTTAGTGGTAGCGCGAAAAACGTGCATTTTGCCAAAATTGCACAATGCAGTTTTGTGACATCCGCCAGCGAAACCGTCACATGGCCAAAGAGAGAGGCACACTCCATCTGGCGCCAACGCTCGCCCTCCCTTTCACCCCCACCCTCTCCCTTTCTACCCGCTCCTCTATCTCATTGCCACATATGCGTACGTGGTGTAGCTGCCATGCCGTAAGGGGTCTGTATGCGATGGATGCTTCGGAAAGTGTGAGAGTACCCCGTTCTTCCAACAACGGTTGCCAGGGTACACTCGGAGCTTGGCAAGACAAGTACGTGATTGGGTCTCTTCAAGCCTCCAAGCCTAAACCGAAACTGCCAACGGCTAGAACACAGCAGTGTGGCATCAAAGTGTCGGTTCGACTTTACGTCGACGGCACTCTACGTAGAACATGGGGCCAGGGACAATCGTGTTCAATCGTGCGAAATGGCCTTGACGTCGGGCATGAGGCCCTGCCAAGCGTCGATGAGGTCCGACTCTGCAGCAATAAACGACTCGACGACGGCAACGAGCGATGCACGAAAGTCGAGAATCTTTTCGCCCTCGAACCGGGCAAGCTCCTCGCGGACGACTTCGGTGATCTCCTCAAAGGCAACCTTGGACTCCGCCTCGTTAGTGATGGCAGCGTCGAGGTCGTCCTTGGCGGACGCAACCTTGTTGGCCTTCTTGGGGTTGGCCTTGACCTTAGCCAAGTTATCCTCCTTCTTGGCCAGGTCGCTCTTGGCCTTGGCCCACTCGCCAAAGACCTGGGCGCGGGCGGCGAGAGCGGCCTTGACCGCAGCGACGATGCGCTCGTACTCCTCGAGGTCGACGACGAGCTGGCTCAGCGCGCCCTCGGCTTGCTCCGAGTAGATGGTGTTGGAGGTGTCGGCGACGTCGGCGAGGCGGTTGAAGGCGCGCTCGAGGCCGGGGTTGGCCTCCGACTGGGCCACAGCGGTGGCACCAGCGGAGAACTCCGAGTGAGCCTCAGACATGGAGAGGCGGAGCTTGAGCAGCTGGTTAGCGCACTTTGCGAGCTCGGAGAGCTGCTTGCCCCAGGCCTCGACCTCGTCCTTCTTCTCCGCAAACCAAGGGTCAGGCTCCTCGGCAGCGGTGATGACGTACGACGAGACCGAGCCGGCCACCTTGGACATCTTCTTGAGCAAGCCCGAGCCCCAAGACTTGTTCTGCCACGGAAGCTTGTCCTTGGACTGAAGGAAGAGGACCAGCGCCTTGGCCGAGTGCAGCAGCGGATGGCAGGCGCAGCGGTAGAGGAACTTCTCCAGCTCGTTCTTGCGTCGTGCCACAAAGGCCTCGTCGAACCGCGACGTGGCATTCTTGACCGGGAGCGGCGGGACGACGGCGCCGGGGCACTCGCGAGCCAGCTCCTCGGCGAGCCAGCTAAAGTCCGAGTACCTACGGACCACCGTGTGCTCGCCGGCGGCAAAGCCCGGAAGCTCAGCCGTGGAGACCACATCGTATGCCGTGTACGACGACATGCCCGACCCCACCTTGGTCGCCTCACCCATCGTCACCCTCAGGAACGGATGCTTGGCATACTCTTCCTCGCCACCATTGGCCCGTCCGCCGCCCGTCGACGACGCAGCAGCAGCAGACGCCCGTCCGCCAGGCGACTGCGACCGCGACCGCGACCGAGACCGCGACCGCGACGACACGGGCGACCGGGAGCGGGACCGAGAGTACGACATGTAGGAGGCGAGGCTGTGTGTGCGTGTGTGTGTGTGTGTGGAGGGGGGGTGTCTGTCGTCGGTGACGTCGAGTAGTGACTTCCCCCCGCACCGGTCTCCACGCCACAACAACGGCACTTTGCTGGCCTGTGACCTGGCACTGACCGACCTCTGTCCGGCCATCGACCTGAGCGCGTGACCAACGGTTTCGCCCATCTCGGTGATCATGTGGGTGAAAATATTTCGACCCGGGAAATCTCAAACACCCCCCCCTATCCCCCTCTTCCTCTCCCTCC